ATACCTATTACCACCTGTCTACAGAGGTCAGAGACAGACGAGTCAGACAAGGAGCCTTGCTGCGTGAGCGATGTTGACCTGGGGGACTATTTTGATTGGGATACTCACAGGGATTGAGTACGCTTGAGTTTTGGAGCAGGCCCAGAGCATCTTATGGCATTGGTCACCAGAGCGAGACGCAGGCAGAAAGCAGCCCTACGACGGGTTGCTTATCTTTTGGCACGATATTTACTTGAGGGTGATTGATTCGGACATTACATGTTAGGAGGACCCAGGTCAGAGGAGGTAGTCGGTCCTTCAAGGGGGAAGGGACCAGTCCCATATCTTGGGGATGACTACAGCCATTTGGTGGGAACAGATTTCGTCATACAGGCTTTTCGGAAGCCTCTCTATGGAGACCGTTTTCTGGAGGTTTTATATGATTACATCTACGGTAAGGGACGGATCGAGATCTTGATCGGTGCCACTGGCAGCATTTCCCTCGATGAGGAATTGTACCTTCGGAGTGTTGCGGACGAGGAGATGGCTAAATGTATGGCATATATCAGCAAGATCGACCCTGCGGCATCCTTTGACATCAGCTATGTGGTCCTAAAGTCGATGGCCACTCAGATTCTCAATGATGAGGAGGACCAGTGTGTACCAGATACGGAGTCCCAGACAGTTGAGCCCACTCATGAGGGGGTACCACTTGTCATCATTGACTGAGACTCGTATCTTTTAGTCACTGAGATGTACTATGACATTATTATTATTTATCAGTGACTGCAGCCCCTTCTTTATGGCCGCTTCCCCCATTCTTTGTGTACTACTCTTCAGTCTCGTGTCGCTGGTCATGCTCTTGCAGAGTCTGGTTTCTGGTCTTTTCATCCTCTCAGTGTCATTTGATTTATGATGCATGAGAATGTTTGTGCATGAGATAACAAGTTATTTATCACTCCTTATCATAATAGGTTACACTCAAGGCTACTCGAAGGACTCCTGGATAATAGGGACTCCGATGACCTTGATTTTAACCTTTATACGGGGGCAGGTGCAGGCGATAAAACCGAACGCCTCACTCTAAGCCGTGTCGCCGCTGGCAGGAGGAATAACCCTGACTACTCCACTGTGTGACAAAGGCTGCTTGTGATTTCACTTCCAATTTTTCTAAAACTCTCCAAAATCTTCCGTGACAGCCTGCCAGTTCACCAACCCACCACACTCGGCCCGGGGAGAGACATCGAACTAGGCCTTGGAACGGTGGGGGCGCGACAAAAATGGCGCCGTTGCCGGGGACTCAAAAATTTTGACTTCCTGGGAGCGGACCTTAGTCACAATATTCAGTGACTAGGCAGCAGTCTAATATTTCGTACAAGGTCTGACTCAGGTCAGAAAAACTATTCGGCTACAGGAGCCCCGAGAAGAGGGGTCTCTTGCAGAAGTCTATCTGAAGTGATTCAGACCTGCAAGCAAGGGTTTGGAATTTGTTTTCTGGACCCTTCGCTTGACAAGTTTATAAATCAGAAACCAGACGATGACTGAAGAGTATAATGTCCTAGAAGCCCTAACTCGTGTCACCTGCTGTGGTGCCTTCCCTTATATGTTTGTCAAATGCATTATGAAAAGTACAACGACTGTGCATGTGCGTGTCTCAAGATTCCTCGACACTGATGATTATGATATTCGACCCTACGTCCTAGAAGGGGCTGATCGGGACCCTGGTTTCTTTACCAACTGGGATGTTATAGTGGGGTGTGTCGAAGCCGAGAGAGATCAGTTGAGACAGCAATGGATAGAAGCGAGTTGGAGCTTACTGCCTAGGATTTATGAGAAGATTCCTACCCCGCCAGCACCTAAAGGATTCTGCGATGGTAGGAATTAGCAGCCAATCATCAATGCGGCGCTGAGGAGGTAGAGTTGGTAGGCAGCCCATGTCGGAGGTAACTAGAGCGATAGAGGCACTGACCAGGATCACTGCTGAGGGTGTTTTCCGATACATCATTGAGAGGTGTGTGACTTGTGAGCACGACTCAGTGATCTTGTACGTCTTTGTAGTCCGATTCCTTGATACAAATGAGTATGATGTAAGGCCATGTGTATCTGCTGGAACAAGGAGAGGGATTGACTATGAGGCATGTTGGGTAGTTCCTGTTGAGTATATCCTAGATGAAAGATTATTGTTGAAACAACAAGGAAAGAAAGTGACATGGAGTGTCCTACCTAGAGAGTTTGAGAGATTCCCAAGCCCTCCTGTACCTGCTAGCTTCTGCAACGGGAAGGGCTGGGGACCAATCCTCAATGCGGTGTTAAGGGATCGAGTGTCGTAAGCTATGCCGATCGATGTCTACACTCGTGATGATGGAGAGAGCTTTTGCTTTCAGGTCTACTTAGATGAGCAACAAGCGACTGTCATCGGGGCTGTGAGAGGATGCGATACTAGGTTAGGTAGGCACGACGAGATTGGCATGGTAAAGCACTACCTTGAGCTTATGCGAGCGGCTGCTTTTAGAGCAATTACGAGTCAGACTAAGATTAGGCATTTGGTGGATTGCAAGAGTTCGGATGGCAGGAGAGTGATGCTGCATGCGAGAGACGAGATCATTTTATCTAGACAGCGACTTGCGGACAGTCTGGCTAGAGGTGCTAGAGGCAGCCCAAGGCAATGATACTGGAATGTGAAAACTCTATGTCAATTGCAGCTATGACCATTAGTAGAGGATGGTTAGATAAAGTAACTGAGACTGACAGTCCATTCGAGATATTGAGACACGACGTCCGTAAGGAAGGGCGTTTAGTATTCTATGTTCCAGTGGTTAGATTTCTCAAAACCGACGAGATTGATGTGAGGGTTTATGCTCAGGGAGGAGTAAAAGAGGAAGAAGGTTATTTAGAGTGTCTAAGGAAAGTGTACATTCACCTTTCAAGGGTAAGGGAGTTACTTCGAAGCTTGCATGAGAAAGTGACTTGGGGGAAGCGAGTCAGGCAATTTGAAAGACTCTCTAGTTTTCTGACTACGGATAGCTTCGCTGACAGGAGAGATTGGGCGCCTCTTCTAGAAGTTATTGCCGTGGTTGGTAAGGCAAGAGAGAATGACTTAGTCATGCGACCAAAGACGCTGTTTCTTGAGACCTTTGTACGTAGGTTCGAAGTTCAAGACGAAGCTTCTCCTGAGTTTTTCCTCACTTGGCAATGGAAAGGAGCGTATTATGGTTGAGGGGCATGTTAGTTTCCTAGGAAGCAGGCATACTTAGGAGAAGGCTGAAGGAAAGGAATTACCAGACATTAATTCTTCAGTTATCTCACACCTACTTCGGGATTTAAAGCCCTTCACGGTAGGAGGGGCGTTTCCTTATGAGATTGAGAGATATACTGTCTTGGCCATACCTGAAGTAGAGGAGAAAGTGTATGTGTTAGTAACTAGCGTTGCATATCCTTGGAGGAGAAGCATGCACCTGGGAAGGCGTATGTCCTTGTAGTGAAGTTCCTTAACACTGGTGAATACGATATCCGACCCTACGTTCCCTCTTTGAGAGAGAAAGGGACAGATCGTGAGTCTCTTCGAAGTTGGATTAGTAATATAGTTAACCAAGAGAAGAGGGAATTATAAAAAAAAAGGATAAGAGTAATTAGTGACTTAACACCGATTGTGTTTGATAGGTTTTTTTAGCCCCATCTGCCAGAAAGTTTTACTGACGCCAGGGACTGGGAACCAATTTTAAACGCAATCATAAGAGAGAAAAGATTCAGGAAAAAGTAGAAGCGTAATCAGTAAACTAGACATGATGGTCAAAGGACCGAACGCACGGCAGAGCCGTGCTAGCTCCTCTGCTGGGGATGGAGAAGTGACCACTACCGTGGTTCTTCGAGAGATGTTGAACCGAATAGAGGTCATGAAGACCGAGGTGGACATTATGAATGTCTGTCTAGACCTTCCAAGAGCCAAGGTACCTCCAGAGAACATACCCTGCTTTGATGGAACCAAGGTTAGGGAGTTCCTGGAAGACTGTAATGTCTTCGGTATGAGTCATGGCTGGTCGGATAAACAAAAGTTGAAAGCTCTGCTAGCCTATGTTGAACCTAAGATGAGAGTGTCGGTAACGAAGATGACACAAGGACTGACAACTTGGGCGGAAGTTAGACAAAAAATGTTAGAGGAGTATGCGAAGTATGATGTTCCAACAACTATGCAAAATTTGTTGGATGTGCGATGCTCCAAGTACGTTACCCTCGATCAATTCCTAGAGGATTTTGAGAGGGTTGCGCGGAGAGTACCCTTCCTAGACGAGGCACAAAAATGGCATGTCCTACTGACTAACTTCGCGGAGGACGAAAGAAAGAGTGTGGTAAGTCGCGCTGTCCATTATCCTCTAAAGTGGGATGAAGTAGTTGAGATGGTCCGTGAGTTACCTTCAGTGTCCAACAAAAAATGGTCTTTGGAATAGATGAAAGCAATCACTAGTGCAAGAGAGGGAAATGTTGAGGCAGCTACGGGAGGAAACTTGAAGGCCGAGGAGATCTTTGGTCTTCTCGTTAAGCTTGGTAGCTTCGAAAAGTTAACCCTTCCTGCCCCAGCGACTTAAGCACTTGTTGGAGCTGGAGAAGGTAAGGAAGAAAGAAAGAAGGTGAAGCAAAAGGAAGAAAGTAAAAGTGAGAGTGAAAGTAGTGATGACGATGACGCTAGGCAAAGGAGAAAGGAAAGATGAAAGAAATCGGAAAGGAAGCGTGATCGGGACTGGAAGAAAGATAATAAGAGCCGACATTGACAAAGGAGAGATGACTCTTTCCGATGTTATTATTGTGACGAGAAAGACGATACTCTAACCCGGTGTCCGGCGTTAGAAAAGGAGTTCGAAGAAGGGATTGTCAAGAAGAACGTCAATGGGCACATTTGTGATGCCAATTGGAACAAGGTAGACTTTCGAGTCAAAGGAGGGATGCAAGTTGTAATCCTAGAAAAGGCTAAGGCCAATAAAGATAAAAAAGAAGAAGGCTAGGGTTAATGTTGTCACCTTTGACGGTCTGCTACCTCCAGAGATAGTGGCTCGAGACGACAATCCTGGAAGCCAAAACCTGAATGTATCCCATATCAGTCATAGAGAGATTGAGGAGAAAAAGCAGGAGAAGGCTCAAAGAGAGCTGGACCAGCTGATTGATGGGACCAAGGACCTAGTGAAGGAAGGGAAAGGAAAGGAAGCTGCCGGTAAAAAGAGGAAGGTGGTCTTGAGATCCGATGCTGAGGAGGGTGTCTTGATAGATGAAGTAGTAAAGAAACTACTTGAAGAAACCGAGATCACCCTATCCTGGAAGGAGGCGGTAGCCTTGGTGCCAAAGTTTAGAGAATAACTTAAAAAGATGGTTGAAAGGCAGAAAGTAGAAATCAATAGCCTAAGACTTTTCCCTCAGCATGTGGAGAGAGCCTCGCCTGGGACCAAGATGAGGTTTGGCAACATGTCGTGTGGGTACTTGAATATCTCCGTAAACGACGTGAAGGTTAGAGCCCTAGTGGACTCTGGAGCCGAGATGGTGCTTATGTCCTCGGCCACGATGAGATCATGTGGGCTTGGAATAGATAGGAAAGTCAATTATCAACTTTTCAATATAGCCGGATTTCTGTCATTGGAAGGATTCATTGATGATTTTCCTATTCGAATTGGAACTTTACGGTCCGAGATCCCCTGTTTTCTGGTCCCCAACTTGGATCATGACCGCATTCTCGGAGCCCCTTTCCTACATAGAATGGAGACTTGTGCGTTCTTTGGTCATGATGGGGCGGCTTGACTTTCGCTCCAAGATCCTAACAATGGTCAAGAACAGGTTTTTGTGATAAGTGATAGGCATCATCCTCGTCATCAGCAACATGTTAATTCTCTTAAGCATGGAGAATCTGACAAGTTGATTGAGGAAGTACGAGCAAAGTTGAAAGAGAGTGGAATAATAGACGAGAAGACAACGATTCGAGTGAATGATATCGGTAAGATGCTCAAACTCCATTGATAAAGAGAAGGAGCTGGGCGATAAGAGAGAGATGGAAGGATTCAAAGAAGCTGTGAGGGCGGCAAAAACTGACACAATGCAGCTTACCTTCTCTGCAACTGAGCCTTTTTTAGGAAAATAGTCACCGGGTCCAAGAGGAAGTATAAGCGCAAGGGCGTTAAGAAAAATCCGGTGGCAGTCTTAATAGAAAAGGACTATAATGAAGCATTAGAGAAGGAAAGGAAGATAATTAAAGGGTTAATTGAGGCTGCATTAAAAGGGGAAAGGATTACCCCAGAAAGGTTCAAGATAATGAAGGTAGGAGCCGATGACTTCCTCCTGCCGGCTGAGAGAGATTTCATATGTGAATTATGTCAGAAGTACAGTTATGTCTTTTCCTTTAATGATGAGGAGAGGGAACGACTGGACGTTGACATGATCAAGATGGTCAAGATTTGGACCGTTCCTCACACGCCTTGGAATGACATACCCACAAAGTACGCTCAAAAGGAAGAAAAAGAGGTAATGGAGTACATAAACCAGAAGATCGCCTCCAATGTTGCGGAACCAGCTGATGGAGCCTACGCCAATCACTGGTTTTGCTTTTGGAAGCCATGTTTTGCAAAAGTTGAATTCGGTAACGGTTCGCGATGCGCGTAGCTTACCCAACGCGGATCTATTGACCGAGTCTTTTGCTGAAAGGAGCATCTACTCCCTAATAGACTTGTACTTTGGCTATGACCAGTTCCTCATAGATCCTACTAGTCGACCTATGACCGCCATGCACACGCCTAGAGGCCTCATACAAATGTGTGTGGTGCCTCAAGGGTGGACGAATGGGGTCGCGGTCGTCCAGCGAGACATGTTGAAGGTCATGGAGGACATATGCCCAGAGGTCACGTTCCCGTACATCGATGACAATCCGGTAAAAGGACCGAAAGAAAAGGACGAGACCTTAGTGAATGGTCGAGTTAGGCGGTTCGTATGGGATCATGCGCAGGGAGTAGCGAAATTACTAGAAAGGCTAGTTAAGTACAACCTAACGGTCAGTGGATCAAAATCGTTACTGTTCCAAAGAGAGGTAACGATCTTGGGTTTCAGGTGCTTCTTGGAAGGAAGAAGTCCCAATCCGAAGAAAGTGGATAAACTCATGAACTGGCCTATGCTTCTAAAAACGGTTGGGGAAGTAAGGAGCTTCCTAGGGGTCTACAGCTTTTGGCGGATCTTCATCCCCGGGTTTGCCAAGATAGCCGAACCCCTTAGAGAAATGGTGCGACAAGGAGCTAGCTTAGGGTGGTCTGACCAAAGAGAGAAGGTTGCGCGGACACTTCAAGATAAGTTAAGAGATGGCGGGGTCGTATTGGGAGTACCCTACTTCGACGATGAAAGGGAGAGGTCTTTCATCATTGAAGTCGACGGCGGCCCGATAGCATTAGGAGGGGTGCTTGTGCAGCGAGATGAGAATGGTAAAGAAAGACCACTTAGGTTTGAGAGTCGCACTCTTAATTCGGTTGAGAGAGGCTATATTAAGTTTAGGAAGGAGCTTCTAGCAATCCTGCACTGTCTCAGAGTGTTCAGACACTACATTATGGGACGAAGATTCATCCTAAGAACGGATTCCACGGCAGTAATTGGGGCTGTTAAGAGACATCAGCAAGTAGATGTTATGGTCAGTAGGTGGATAGCTCATATATGGACGTATGATTTTATATTGGAAAAAGTACCTACTGATAAGAATCGAGCTGATGGGTTAAGCCGCGTGGAATGGGGATCGATAGATGATGAATCTCTTGAGGAGGCGCCTTTCGTTGACGAATTCCTTATGGGGGACGATGATGAAGGGCTACCTTCTGCTCCCAATTGTTATACGACCTCAGCCATGACCACCAGTAGAGAAGACTGCTGGGGTGAAAAAGAAGATCCCTACCTCCACTACCTCCTAACTCAAGAGGATGAGGAAGAAGGGTGGTATGGGATAGTAGAACAGACCGCTGTTGTAGCTCATGAGCTGGCTGAGAGTTTAAGAATGGCTGAGCGTCGATTGAGTGAGATAGAGGATGGGTCATAAGATTTAGAACAGAGTAAGGATGATGAGGGAAGATTTAGAAAGGAAGAATATGATGGAGAGTATAAGAGGATCGGTATGGTGATGAGTAGTAATCACTTGAACGAGTTCTACCATAAGAGGACAAAGAAGACCTTTAGACTACGTAGGGGTCACCTTTTTGTGGATGCTAAGGAAGAACTACCGTCGTTGAGAGTGGTGTGTGGTAGAGAAAGGCAACTAGAGGTGATCGCCGCACTTCATGAAGGTCTAGCAGAGGGTCATAGGGGTGATGATGCTACATACTATAAAGTATCTCGATTATATCACTGGGATTGTATGAGGGATATGGTTATGAGATACTGTAAGTCATGTGAAGCCTGTCAAAAAAGATCATCTATGAGATTGATTGAACCTCTATATCCCACTGTTCTTGTTGAGCCTGGTAGTACTGTTCACGGTGATCTAATTACTATGTCACCTGGTAAGGATGGAATGAAATATATACTAAATATGAGAGATAATATGTCTGGTTATGTTGAAGCAAAAGCCATCCGTAAGAAAACAGCAAAAACAGTGGCAGATTGGATCGAGGAAATCTACCTAAGGTACCCCTTCATACGTGAGTTTGTGGTTGATCAGGGATCAGAATTCAAGAACGAGATGGTCAGAAAGCTCATATTCAGACTTGGAGTCAGAGTCAGATTTGTGACACCATATCATCCTCAGGCTAATGCATCAGTGGAAAGAGGTCACATGACTTTAAAGGACGCTATATCAAAATAGTGCCGAGGTGATTGCAGAAGTTGGTCATCCTTCTTGAGAGCGGCTGTTTATGCTGACAATGTGACTGTCAAACGGACTACAGGTTATGCACCTGTTACACTCTGGTACGACCGGTATGCTACTTCTCTCATTGAAAACCTGGTTGAGACCTGGACCCATGAGGCACAGAGAGAGTCATACTCCACAGAGGAGTTGCTGAGGCTGAGGATCAGGCAGATCAAGGAAGTGGATGAGGTCATAATCGAGGTCACAAAGAGGATGTCAGACAACAGATTATCTGACCAGACACGRTGGAACAGCAAGAGGTACATCAGGAAGGAACGACTTCAGGTCGGGGATATTGTACTCCTGCATGATACATCTCTCGGGACACAGTGGACCAAGAGATTGGAGGCGAGGTTGATGGGACCTTTCAGGATCATCAGAGAGGTTGAAGGCAAGGCCTATGAGTTAGCAGAGATGGATGTAACCAGATCCCATGGTATAGTATGCGGCTCCCGGCTCCGAAAATTCATACTCAGAAATGCAGATTTGATTCCGAGTTCGGGCAAAATGATGGGGCGAGGCCCGAGAGCCGTCTTGCATCGGCCTGGGCATGCTGGGTCGTGGTCAGTGTGCCCTCTGCATTGGTTGGGACGTGGTCAGTATGCCGCCAACCGCGGGATCATTATGTGTTGGGATATGGCCAGTGCGCCGCTAACTTCAGACGATGATTATATGCTTGGACGTGGACAGTGTTGCCGCCAGCTACAGACGATATGCTGGGACGTGGACAGTGTTGCCGCCAGCTACATACGATGATTATATGCTAGGACGTGGACAGTGTTGTCGCCAGCTACAGATGATGATGATATGCTAGGACGTGGACAGTGTTGCCGTGAGCTACAGATGCTGATTATATGCTGGGACGTGGACAGTGTGCCGCCAGCTACTGATGATGATGATATGCTGGGACGCGGACAGTGTGTCGCCAGCTACAGATGTTGATTATATATTGG